CATCAACGCGGTAGGTCAGGGAACTTCAGCAAAATTTAAGTCAGGTTCAATTCTTAGCCGAAAACTAGCCTCAAGAGTAATTCCCCAAGCCGGCTCTGGCCACATACTAAGTTTTATTCTTCGAGATTCTTTACCCATACTGGTTTTAACAGCGTCCTTCCTTTTGTCGACTACTTTTTGTGAGAGAGCGTGGAAAGTTTAGACGTTCAACACTGCCCTAACAGGGCTACAATCATAGTAATATTATCTAAACAATCTATTCTTTTTTTCCAAGAGTTTGAATATCAATTCCACAAGTGATAATTCGGCGTTTTGGTTATCCTTTTCGTCCCTCATTCCCTTGAGAAGGGCATACTATTTAGCTAGCGCTATCTTAGTGCTTATTACCTAAGGTAGGCAACACTCCCATCCCTCGAACAATTTTGAGGTCTCTTCTTTGATGGGACTGACGCCCAATGAGAGCTTTTAATTTGATTGCTACATTTAAAGTTGTATTGAAAAGGCAGCACATTTTACCTCCGTAACAAGATTATAGGTGCCTTTGATTGCCTACAATCACTAATTTGTGCTGTACTTTTTGACCAAGCTGATTTAAAGCAAAGATCACGAGTAAATCAGCGACTCAGCTACGTCCCCATACACGAAGAATGCCTCTGTTCAGTTACCATTTGCGTATATGGCGAACACAAGACGCCCAGTGATGGACAAATCTGACCAATGCCAATGACCTCCACAATGCTTCTAAACTGATGATAACATTCTCCCGCAATGTGATCAACCTCATGGGGTAAGAGATGGACCTATGGACAGGGAGAGCTTCACGATCCGAAAATACATAAATGGAACTGAAAGTAAATGAAAACAGAGTGGTTGACGCGCAAACACACATATGCTCTAGTTATCAAAAGTCAGGTAGATAACACTAGAAATCATTGTAATCATCACATATTGGCTTTAATCCCATGTGTACAGCAGCCACACCGAATGTGTAATTTGTGAACTGTACATTCCGGAAGCCCGCATCTTCAATCATTCCAGCGTACTCATATTGGCTGGGGAACCTTCGAATGCTTTCCACCAAATAACGATAAGAGTGCCAGTCATTAGCCACCACTTTGCCTATTAACGGGATTATTTGCATTGAATAAACATCGTAAATTCTACAAATAAAGCAACATCATACGTTGTTTGGAATGAAAGATAATGAAAATAGGCAACCAACCCATTATAATTTCAAGGTAAACCTACATCCGAAGCATAGAATTGCTAACCCGACTGAACTCCAGACAGAAGAACCTTCCGCCAGGTTTTAGAACACGATAGGCCTCCTCAAGCACCTACAGAATCGATACCGTTAGTATCACCACTAACCTTATCCACATGGGTACAGTTTCTGATCCCAAACGCTACGGTATAGACGTCGAATTGATTGTCTTTAAAGGGTAAGTTTTCAGCATTTCCTTGCACCCAATTGACTAAAGGGTGATAAGATGACTAAAACAACGACCTTACTTTTGGCCATGCCGACCTTATTAGCCTTCATTTTACCCACTTCAATCATCTGTCGGTTAATGTCACACACTGTGATCTTAGGCATGGTGGGACTGGATGGGTTTTCGATATTCTTTGAATACTTTGCAATGCGCAAAGCGATGTCCCCAGTGCCCCCACAGACGTCGAGGAAAGAAAGGTTGGTGGTGGGAAACATACGGTAAACAAAAAAGTTTTTCCAAATGCGATGAATGCCCGCACTCATCGCATCGTTCATTATATCATATTTGCCCGCTACACCAGTAAACACCTTATCCACCTTCGCCTGCTTTTCTGCCTCATCCACCGTCTGGTAACCGAAGTGAGTACTTGCAAACAAACGAATAGCGCAAAGAGGTGAACGACTTGTGAAGCCAACGGCCCTCCTTAGGCTGTACATTTTATCTAAAATCACTGAATATCGCCAAAGTATTATTATCGTAAGTCGATCTATGAGTTGAGATTGTCAGAATTATTGACCCACGAGGCAGTGCAATGTAAAATTTAGGAATATAAACGTACAATGCAACTAACAACACAGCTTAGACGATTGACAAAGGGGTGGAAAGGATGATAATCATATATTCAGTTGCGGTTCTACACGCAAAGAGAGCATTCAAATAAAAAGGGCATTTCAGATGCAGAAATGCCAAAAAATATTGTTCTCATCAAGACCATTGTTTCACAAAGCGTTCGAAACTCTATCTGCTCTTTTAGCATAATTCGTAAGTAGGTAAAGCAAAGGTTACAACAGAATAGCGCTTCAACACGATGGTCGACAAAAAGTCCATGATTTTAGACTCAAAGGGTTATTTAAAAGTTATACCTAGAGATCACATAGCCTTAGTTAATGAGTAAGTGCACAGCCAACTACGTCACACGCACCTCGAACGGACGCTGAACACCAATTTTATAAAGGCGCCCTGCTCTAGCTCAACCTTCACCACAGGCTCGATAGTAAAATGTTGTAACAGGCATAAGATCCTCGTAGTTGTCCAAGTAAAATAGCTCTTTTGGGTCGTTCGTTACTAAAACAATCACTATCGCATAATTTGCAACTCAGGATTGAGGCCATAGCTGGCGTGCAAAATACAAGGTGTGACGCCGATCTGATTGGTGAACTACGCTCTTCGTGTACGTTTTCCCCTGTACATTTTAAATGCGGATAACTCAGCGGTTCTCAAATTTTTATTGCCTTTGACTCCAGTGACGAGACAGATTCGGCTTCAACCACCAATGTTTCAAGTGTAATCCCATTTCTCTTGTTGAAGGTATCCGTCATCTGTGAAATGTTTAGGGAATTTAGATTCGGAATTTCGTCCATTCAGCATTATTCTACTTACAAGCAGAAGAAGAAGTTTATTCGCATATCTTTTGTTGTCATCCATATGGACAGGCAGAGAGAGCTTGATATCTGCGTTGATCAGTCGTATCCGCATCCTCGTGGTAACTATACTATCTACAGGGTTGTCATTCAGCGCTTTTTGGGCTGTAATAAGGAAGAGAAAGTAGTAAGGATTTGTTAGTCTCTCGTTTTTTTAGCTTTATAAGCGATTCAGTGATTTTCTCAAACTACACCGGCGGCTCTCCAGAGTTTATGAAGCTTTGGACTGCAGCAAGCCATTTCCAGTTTTATCAAAGAATACGTATTTTAGTAAGTTCCTATATTTCTGTTATTCCTTAGACCGTTTCCGTTCCTCCGTGATAGAATCTCGGCGCAGAGCTCTCGACGATTTTGTTAAATTTATCGCTTCGAATGAACATTTATATTGTCACACCTCCTTTACCCGTTTCGTAACTGGCAGTTTTTTAAATCATGTTTCACCACATGGCGGCACCGACGACGATCGCCTCCCTATCTTCCCTGTTCGTCCACCTTTACTCAACGCACAAACAACGGTAGTTCCACAGATTCAAGCACCACTACCTAGTCCGTCGAAAGCAGATAGTAATGAATTACATTCTCCAAAACGCCGAGAATTTTTATATCATCTTGAATCCCCCCTATCCAGCAGTACGGACAATGAACTGGACGGGGACTCTTTAC